CCCCCCCCGGGGGGCGTTTTTGGGGGCAAAAGGGGCGGGTTTGGGGCAGCAGCACTCACTGCAGGGCCTCCCGGAAGAACTGGAACGCGCCCAGGTTGTGCTTGAACACCGTCAGCATCACCTTCTTCATCTGCGTGCTGGGGGCACCCCAAAAACGGATCAGGTCACCCCAAAACTGCCCCAGTTCACCCCAAACTGGCTCAGTTCACCCCAAACCAGCTCAGTTCACCCCAAAATCAGCTCAGTTCACCCCAAACTGGCTCAGTTCACCCCAAAACCGGCTCAGTTAATCCCAAACTGGCTCAGGTCACCCCAAACTGGCTCAGATCACCCCAAAACCAGCTCAGTTCACCCCAAACTGCCCCAGTTCACCCCAAAACTGGCTCAGTTCACCCCAAAACTGCCCCAGTTCACCCCAAAACTGCCCCATTCCACCCCAACCCCACCCCATACGACCCCAACCCACCCATTCCACCCCAAACCTGCCCCAACCTCACCCATTGCACCCCAAACCTGCCCCAACCTCACTCATTCCACTCCAACCCCACTCATTTCACCCCAAACCTGCCCCATTCCACCCCAAACCCCCTTTTCTTACCTGTTGGCCACGAGCTGCAGGATCTGGAGCAGGAACTTGCCCAGCCCCCTCCTCCTCACCCGGCTCTCCAGCTGCACCTCGTAACTGCGGGAGGACCCCAAAAGCCATGAAAGACCCCAAAAGCCATGAACAACCCCAAAAGCCATGAACCACCCCCAGAATTGCCCGTTTTGGGGGGTTTTTGCCCCGGCCCAGCACTCACCAGTACAGCACCTCGTCCCCGGCCTCGACGTCGAAGCGGAAGTGGGAGAAGGCCACGGGGGCCGTGTCGGGGTCCCGGGCCAGGAGGTACCAGGCCCGTTCATCCCGCAGCTCCTCCCGCTTCTCCCGCTCCTTCCAGCCCCACTCGCTCTGCTCGTACCTGGTTCGGGGTGAGAAATGGAGATTTGGGGCAAAAAAAAGATTTTGGGGTAAAACCCGGCGATTTTGGGCAAAAGCGAGGTGGGAAATTCATGTCGTGATTTGGGGAGGGGAAAGAAAATCATAAAGGTCTTGTGGGGGAAAATAAATCCTGGGGTGAGAGGCCACGGATTTGGGGAGGAAAACACAAATTCTGACAGTTTTTTGGGGGGTTGAGATTCCACCAATTTCGAGGGAATTTCCCCCAAATTTAGGGGTAAAATCCCCCAAAATTCTGGCAGCAACACCCTCATAATTTGCAGGTGCAACACCTCCCTAAAATTGTGAGGGAGCAAAAAAAAACCTCACAATTTTGGGGTAAAAGCCCCAAAATTCTGTCAGCAACCCCCCCACACACAGTTTGTACCCCCCAGAATTTGGGATTAGGGAAGGAAAGTTTCCCCCCCCTGAGCCCAAGGAGGGGCTGGAGCACCCCCAGGTGTCCCTGTGACATCGGGATCCTGGAGCTCCATGGGCTGGGTGGCACTGGGAGGTGACAAATGACACTGGGAGGTATCACAAGTGACACTGGGAGGTGACTGGTGGCACTGGGAGGTGACTGGTGGCACTGGGAGGTGTCACAGGTGGCACTGGGAGGTGACAGGTGGCACTGGGAGGGGACTCACAGCGTCTGCATGTTGGCCTTGGTCAGCTCGAAGGCCCAGTCGAGGGTGGAAGGTTCCAGACCGGAGACGCGCCGGCACTCGATGGACACGTTGAGACTGTGGGAGAAGCCAGAGGGGACATGGGGGGGACATCAGGAACGCAGCAGGGAATACTGGGAACCATCTCAGGGACACTGGGAGGGACCTCAGGGACACTGGGAATACACCAGTGACACTGGGTAGAGCTTTGGGGACATCGAGGATACACTGGGGACATTGGGAATACGTCAGGGATATTGGGAACCATCTCAGGGACACTGGGAACAGCCTTGGGGACACTGGGAACGTGCTGAGGACACCAGGAATGGCCCCAGGGACATCAGGAATATGCTGAGGCTCCAGGGACACCTGGAATGGCCTCAAGGACACCGGGAATGGCCCCAGGGACACCGGGAACACGCTGAGGACACCGGGAATGGCCTCAGGGACATCAGGAATACACTGAGGTCACTGGCAGTGGCCCCAGGGACACTGGGAATGGCCCCAGGGGCACCGGGAACACTGAGGTCACCGGGAATGGCCCCAGGGACACCTGGAACAGCCTCAGGGATGTTGGGAACATGCTGAGGACACCGGGAATGGCCTCAGGGACATCAGGAACACGCTGAGGATACCAGGAATGGCCCCAGGGACACCTGGACCATGCCGAGGTCACCGGGAGCGGCCCCGTGGACCCCCCGGGGCAGGGCGGCACTCACCCATTGCGCTCGTACTTCTTGAACACCGGGAAGGCTTCCAGGGGGTCTTGGAGCTGGAAGAGACCAAAGAGCAGCCGAGAGCCAGCGGGGGGGTGGCGGGTTGTCACCGATCCCGGGGGGTTTGGCCCCGCTTGGCCACACTCACTTTGTTGGCGGCCTCGACCTTGGCGCAGACGGCGGCCATGGCCGCGCGCTCCTCCAGCCGCCGCTGCTTCTTCTCCTTGGCCCTGCTCGACTTCCTCTGGGCAAACACACCCCCAAAAAAAAGAGGCCAATCACTCCAAAAAGCCCCGTGGCTACCGCCCCGAGAGCCCGGCCCCACAATCAATAATAAACCAGAATAATGGAACCTTGTGGATGTAAAAAGCAACGGGTTAGGAAAGGGGGGTTGTCCCTAAAGCCTGGCAAAAAAAGGTTTTTTGGGGGGTAAAAACCAGTGCACAAATTATTCTGATCACTGGGGGAGTATTGCCTGAAGAGTGTTGCCCCAAAACTAATAATCATTAATTTTATAAGTACTTTCACGTTATAATAAATATTATATATAATGTGCTCAGTATAACATAGTGAACTATGTTATATATGAATGTTATATATTATAATATATATCATAATATAATATAATTAATATATTATAATATATAATATATATTATAATATAATATATATTATCAAATATGAATATATATGAATTATATATATGAATATATATATAATACAACATAATATATGTATAATAATGTATTCAGTATAACACACATAACACACATAATATATATAATAACATCCCATATACTTAATATAAAATATGTTTATATATCATATTTTTTATAAATGTCAATAAATTAATTTGGGGTTAGAAGCAGCGTTTTGATGAGCACACAAACTGTTCTTATCACTGGGGGAGTGTTGCCTAAAGAGTTTTGCCCCAAAATTAATAATCATTAATCTTATAAGTACTTTCACATTATAATACGTATTACATATAATGTGTCTGATATAATATACATAACATACATAATATATATAACATAACATCCGATATACTTAATATAAAATATATATTTATATATCATATTTATTTAAAATGTCAATAAATTAATTTTCGAGTTAGAAGCAGCGTTTTGATGAGCACACAAACTGTTCTTATCACTGGGGGAGTGTTGTCGCCCAGAGGGTTAAATTTGAGGGGGTTTGCCCCAAAATCCGTGGGGGTTTAGTAAAGGTGATGGTTGTTAGATGGCACAAGCAGGTGACACCGAGCAGCAGTTGCACAAAATGATCATTTTTAAATGGTTTTCTCCTGAATTTGAGAAGTTTGACAGCAGAAATCACCAGCACCAGGTCTGCTCAGAGCAGCCCCAAATTTGCACAAGATGTCCCAAATTTCTTCATAGGAGCCTCCAGACCCCTCAGAGAGTCCCAAGCATCGTCCTAAGAGCCCCAAATGTCCCAAAACCTCACGAAAGGTCCCAAATCTCCACATGGGAGCCCCAATCCCCTCAGAGAAGCCTCTTATTCCCTCAGAGGAGGCCCCTCAGAGCCCCAGAGCCCCAAGAAAGGTCCCAAATCCACTCATAGCAGCCCCGTATCACCTCGAAGAGCTTCCCCATCCTCTCAGATGGCCCCAAATCCCCGCGAATGGTCCCAAACCTCTACACAGGAGCCCCCAGAACCCCCCTCAGAGGGTCCCAAACTCTCGAAGGTCCCCAAATCCCCCTCACAGCAACCCCCTGTCACCTCACGGGAGCCCCCACACCCTCCCGGACAGCCCCAAACCCCCACCAAAGGTCTCAAATCCCCTCAGAGAATCCCCCGTGTCCCCTCACGGTGGGGCCGCCGACCCCCCCCATCCTCTCAGACGGCCCCGAACCCGCCTCGCAGGCCCCGCCCCCGCCGCCTTTCCCCTCGGGCCGAGCCCCCCTTCCATCCCCGGGGCGCGGCGCGGCCCCCGCTCACCCCCATGACGGCGTCGGCGGCGGCTCCTCACGGCGCGGGGGGCGCGGGGGGTCTGAGGGGGCGCGCGCGGGGGGCGCCCTATTTATAGTGGGGGGGGCGGGCGGGGAGGGGGGGGGGAAGAGAAGCGCCGGCGGGCGGCGGTCAGCGCGCACGCGCGGAGCGGGAAAGGGGCGGGGCGAAGGGAAGGGGCGGTGCAGGAGGCGGGACCGCGCGTGCGCGGAGGGGCGGGGGGGAGCGCGGGGGGGAGCGGGCTCGTGGCGGCGGCGCGGGGCGCGAAGGCGGCTCGGCGCTGATTGGCTGAGGGAGGCGGGAGGGGCGGGGCGAGGAGCGCCGGAGGCCACGCCCTCTCCCTGCGCTGAGGGGACAGGGGCCGCCATTGAGGGGCGGGGGGGGGGGTCAGAGAGTCCGGGAGGGACCCACAGACCCTGAGATGGTCCCATAGACACCAGTAATGGACCCAAACCCAGATATGGAACCAAACCAGACCCTGGTAGGGCCCCATAGACACCATTACAGACCCAAACCCAGCTCCACAGCTCACAACTCCCAGTACGGACCCACAGGCCCCAGGATGGCCCCACAGACAGCAGTACGGACCCACAGACCTGGTATGGCCCCACAGACACTGGTATGGTCCCACAGACACTGGTAGGATCCCATAGACATTGGTATGGGACCGAACCCAGCCCCAGAAACCCCAGTACTGACCCCAGCACAAACGCAGCCCCACAGCCCCGGTACAGCCCCACAGATCCCGGTATGGAACTGAACACAGTCCCACAACCCCTGGGATGGCCCCACAACCCCTGGGATGGCCCCCAATATGGCTTCACAGACCCCGGTACAGCCCCATAAACACCAGTACAGAACCAAACACGGCCCCACAGCCCCCAGTGTGGCCCCACAGCCTTCGAGGCAGCCCTACAGACCCCAGGATGGACCCATAACCCACCCCATGGACCCCAGTGCAGCCCCACAGACCCCAGGATGGACCCATAACCCACCCCATGGACCCCAGTGCAGCCCCACAGACCCC